AAATAGTTCCTTATATTTCGAGATTTTTTCCCCTCAAGTGATTCTTTTGTAGTTTCCTAAGGAACTATTAGCAAGTTTTTCGAGAAATGTCCGCGGGTTTGGAAATATTAAAATCTAAATTTACAAAACCATTTTGATTATTATTCCAAAATTTATACTCAGTGCTGTCTCACTTAATAGCAAGGTGAAGTGATTTAAAATTGTGATTACAATTTTATTCAGAAGAAAACCAATAGAAAACAAGTAAGAGCAGCGCTGTCTTCGGCTATGCCGAAGGCTTCATACCTTTCATGAACATCTGCAAATTTTAGTTTGACAGATTACTGCTTTTGAATACATCTGCATACATCGATAGAGGAGTTACATACTTATATAAAAAATCGCATCTAAACAATCAGAGGTATGGAAGATATACTTTATATGACACCAATCTAAGTGATTTCCACCGCTATGTGATCGGTATGTAAACCGGTAACACAATTTATTGGGTTTAGTTTCCTACATAAAGGAGATATATCGCAAAAACTGGTATCTGAACAATCAGTGCTATAGGAGATAAAGCTTATACCGCATAGATTTTGACGATTTTCACAGTAGACTTTGTATTATTATTTATAAAATATCTTACGAAATTTATCGGTTTTAGCTATTCAAATAAAGAAGTTTTACAGTAAAATCCCATATCTGAACAATCAGATGTATGGAAGATATATGTTGTAGTCATCCGATCCGTGTTATTTTCACTGTAAGTATTCTGTTAATAATGAGTGAAAATGGTGCGAAATTTCATGTTCCTAGCTGCATAAATGGAGGAGTTATGATAAAAGACCTCATATCTGAACAATCAGTTGTATGGGGGCTGCAGGTTATAGTGACCCGATCTTTATTATTTTCGAGGTAAGTCTTCTGTTGATAATGAGTGAAAACAGCGCGAAATTTCATGGTCCTAGCTACATAAATGGATGAATTATAACGAAAAATCTCATATCTGAAAAACCAGTTGTATGGGAGCTATAGGTTATAGTTACCCGATCTTTTTAATTTTCACGGTAAGTTTTCTGTAGATAATTATTGAAAACAGTGCGGAATTTCATGTTCCTAGCTATATAAATGGAGGAGTTATAACGCAAAATTTTATATCTGAACAATCCGTTGTATGGGAGCTATAGGTTATAGTGACCCGATCTTTGTAATTTTCACTATAAGTATTCTGTTGATAATGGGTGCAAGTATTGCAAAATTTCATGTTCGTAGCTGCATAAATGGCGAAGTTATAATGAAAAATCTCATATCTGAACAATCAGTTGTATGGGAGCTATATGTTATAGTGGTCCGATTCTTCCGGTTCCGACAAATGATTAATACATTATAAAAATACACCCACCTACCAAATTTCATCCGGATACCTCGAAAACTGAGAGACTAGATTGCATACAAACAGACAGACAGACGGACAGACGGACAGACGGACATGGCTAAATCAACTCAGCTCGACGTTCTGATCATATAAGTATACATTTTCATGGGTCTATCTCTTTTTGTTCTGGTACTTACAAACATCGGACCAAAGTTATAATACCATTTCATGTTCATGAAAGGTATAAAAATAGAAATGAAAAACCAAATTTAAAGTTAAATATCTCAGCATACCACATGACTACAAATATCTTTACACATATCGTAAGTATTATGTAAATTTTAATGCCAAAGAATAAATGTGCCAGATGTCTTTTATTGTTCTGCCATTTGGTATATGGGTTGTGTGAAAAGATTTTGTTTCTGTACAAAAAAAAAAAATACATATATTTGTTTTTCATAGCTTTGCAGCAACTTAGGTTGCCACAATTTTTTAGCTTAGTACTCATGTTTTTTATTTTGTAGTTACGCGTCCATTATTTAGTACCTTAGCGAATTGCTACTTGTTGCTAATTATAGATGGTTTCTGTTTTATTTTTATGTTAATATGGGAACTAAAAAGCTACGAGTTAATGGAAACAAAAAGATTATGTAGTATGAAGTAATAAGGGTATATGGCTGATACGTAGATAAGTAAGTATGTTTATACATATGTATGTATGCACAGCTGACTGCTAAGTCAATGGACAGGGTAGTAGACGATTAGCGCGTTGTGTGGTAATTTGCTAACTGGCGGCTTCAATGCACTTTTTACTTTTCTGACTCTACCGACGATGCACTCGGCAATATTTAAGAATATTTTCATGAATGAAATCACTTTGCAAAGAAAAAAAGAAAATATAATTTGCTTCAGCGGATTAAAAGAGGCAGTAAAATCGGTATTTAATGAATAACTTAAATTGAATTTTAATAAAAATTTCAAGCAAGTTGGCTGAAAAATTAGCGAAGAGCGGATACATTGAGGCGTATGAATATGACTACATTAGCGATTACATTAACTATTCATACGGACTCTTACATTAGTTTGGGTAGAGCGACTTTAAAAAATTTTCTTTGACTTACAATTCAGAGTTATTTGTATTTCCCGAAGTATAATATTGAAATTTGTTCGCTGTCAAAAAAATTTTTGGTTAATGTAATTTCTTACTCGCTAATATCCTTATGTCCTGAAACGTTTTTACGATTTAAGGAAACTAGAGTAATTCCCCTAGGGAGTATATAAAAGTGCTTTAATATTATAAGGACCAATTGTTTTAAGCCGCCTTCGCATAGTAGATGATCTTTCATAAGAAGCTTCTTCATGGCTAAGGTTTCAAATCCTCTTTTTCGCAAACAAAATTTAATAATTAACTCTCACTCTTTTTGTTCAATTTAAGCGTCGAACATAAAATTTCTCACTCCATTCAAGAAGAAAACCAGCTAAGATACTAATTTAGGACATTAAATAAAAGTTATTTTTAGATTTAGAAATATGAAAGAAAGAAATTTCATAACATTTTTTCGAATTTTCTATTTTTAGTATATAATCCGCATTATTTAAAAAAAATATTTTTTGTAATTTTTTGCTTTGCGAATAATAAAAGCAAAGTTTGCGTGTTATTTCGTGAATAGAAAAACCTGTTACTTTTCGTGATTTTTCTGGTTTTTCTCGAGGCAGATTTCCAGATTTTCTCGTGACTTTTTTCGGTCCTTTCGGAATTTTTGTTGACTTGTTTTTCCAGAATTTCAAACCGTTTAGGATATTTGTTGACTTATTTTTGGACCTTTCCGAAATTCTTCGGGACAGTTCGGAATTTTTTGAAAACTTTTAATTTTGATAATGTATACAACCAAATTGTGATTGAAAACTCAGTGCGGCTCTCTTTTATAAAACGATAATATCAAAAAATATAAACAAACGACTCAAAATGCAAAAAAATTTTATTTCAATTTGACGTTATAGTATATGTATCATGAAAGCACTGTCAAATTCAATCATACTTATGTTTATTTTATGTAACTTTGCTTTTTATGAGTGTTGAAAAATATCGAGCTCTCATCCCGAGAATAACTTAATCGACATTTTTTAAAAACTTTCTTTTGATGTGAAAAATGCATCTAAATGGTCTAAAATTATGTTCATTAAAAAAAAAATGTCGCCCATTTTATTTTCGCGGTAAAGCCTCGCTATAAAATTAAAATTTGCAGAATATCTCCTCTGCGATGGATCCGGTTGAGAAACGATTGGCGTGCTTTATTGAACTTGATTGAATTTTCTTTCTATCCATTTACAGCGCCAATCAACAAGAAGTAGAACCATCAATATTGGAGAAAAATCTGTTAAAATCGAAGTTCTTTCCAAAAGGAAAAAAAAAAATTATTAATCGGCTGAACGGTGACCAAAAAGAACTATAGGCATTTTGTTGCGAAGATATAAAATATTTTCCTAGTTTAGATATTAAAATAGTTTGTAAGAAAAATGAGAATTCAAAAAAAATATTAAAAAAAAAAAACTTATATGTGCCTCATCAATTTGGCAAAGTCGGGATCCCATGCGAATTTATTAATTTGAAGTAAATTTTGAAACTTCACTGGCCAGGAGAAAAAAATTATTTGCATTCAGATTCTTGCAAATTATAAATATATGAACATATTTGCATCAACTACAAAATTAGCAGCGTATTTTTTAAATTGATGGCCATTCTCTGGCAGTTAACTTTTACCTTGCTCCGAAAACAAATAGCTGCGGTATGTGAGTTAACTTTCCGCTGTGAAAAAGGCCTCACTGCATTGTATTTCAAAAGGCATAAGTTTTATTTGAAAATATTGGTGTAAGTATTTAAGACAAAAGTAAATTTAAAATGTTTTATTTTTAAACAGTTCAAAGCAAAACATCTTCGAAAAAATAAAAATCGGCCGTGGAAAGACACAGATGAAATCAATTGTAGGTAATAAAAACAAAAAACATTGCCTTTTTATCAAGGGCACAAAATAATTGATTTTTTTTTAAGGCTAAGGCAGAGCTCGTTTTCTCGTTGTTCTGTTGCCTGAGTCAGAATACTGAACGACAGTAAAATTAATTATTGCGCACATCCGGTGTCTAGTTCAATTAGAACAGTCAATGAAGCAAATGCAAAGGTGCCAATAATTGAATTCATTGTATATGTGTGTGTCTGTATGTACGCTTGTTTTTATGAATGCAATTCGCTTAGAACAATGCAGTTCAAAAAGCAATATAGAATATTGTGATGCTAAACCGCAGACATAAATATCATGCCATAATCTGGATTAAATCTTTGCATATTGCACCTGACTGGCTGACTAATTATTATAATTGCTTTAGTAAGTAGTATTCTATGCAATTACTTATGAATGCAGTGTGGGAAACTGTGTGAGTAATGCAAAAATCTGTCTCATTATGTAAGATGTCGGAGGTAAAAGTATGCATTTACTTAATTAGATTTTACATTTTACAATGGACGTATGTACACAGATGCTGCTGTATTTACGCCTAAACATTGGATTGTCTATACTATACTTGTATGTATGTATGTATGTATGTAAGTCTATGTACGAGTATGTATATTGTATTTTATGTGATTTACTTTGTTGTAGGTGTTTCAGTGCATTTGTACTCATCCCAAATTAGCAATAATAATTATGAGCATCGCAATCATCATCATAGTCTGCATAACCATCGTCTGGGCGAAATCTGAGCACTTGATTATTGTTGATGTGGGCGTGGCGGCGCAATAACTTCACCATGCGATATGTGTCAATGCCTGTGCAGGGAAAATGATGAGAGCGATGATGTTGTTGTTGTTATAATGCCATGTTATTGTTGTCATTGTTATTATGATATACAATACATAAGTCTTGCAGACAACAGAACGCAACCACAACTCTAAGATGCGAATTTGTTTGAGAAGAGTAAGTGCAAGAGAGGTAGAAGAAAGCCAACGTATTGTGACTTGATTTGAAATTTTGTATACAATAATGGAGAATTACAGGTACATATGTACATAAGTGGATACATATTCAGTGAATAGATAAAATGCATTGCTACATATAAGGAAATGCGAAAGAGCAATTAATTTAAATGCAATAGGGAGAGTGTCAAATTCGCGGTTGCCAATGGTTCAGAAAGTCAACAAGGAAAAATATACAGGGGCCATATAGAGGAGCCATATCTATTTTTGGGATGCAAAAAATGTCAAATAGGTATTGCTTTGCAAAAAAGTTCCATGTGGATTTTAAACAAATATATATGTATGTAAGTATGTGCACTTACCGTACGGCGCTGGTGCGGGCCCTATGGGCGCTGGCGCTACATGTTTCACCACTGCAGCCGGTTCGTAATGTGGTGCGGGAACGAGCGCTTGCGCATGTACTGTGGGCCCAGATTTAGTTACCACTGCGTTGAAACCATTTATCGCATCGGCAGTGTAGTCCACAGTGCGAATAGAGCCATCAGGTTCGACGAGCGAATATTGACCTATGGAAAAAGAGGATTTTGAACAAAAAAGTGTTAGATTAGGACTTTAAACTTTAAACAACTATTCACAAAAAACATGTAGTATGGGAAAATGGTGATATTCAAATGCTAACGTTCATACCTTTGACAACGTCGCCATCGCGTGTTTCATGTTGTGACTTCACGTCGCCAGTTGTGTGATCGGCTACACCATAGTTGAAGGCGTATTTGGGATGGTTCTATCAAGAAGAAGAAGAATTTTGCGTTATGAAATATTTACTCTTATACCTTGGGCTATTCAAAGTTTTGATTATAACAAAATTTTTGGTTCTTTATTTTAAATCCAAAACAACAAAAAAAAATTTATTCAACTTGTGCTTCCTTAAACTAAAAAAAAAAAATCATGCGCAGCTGCGCATTTATTCTGTTTCTAACCCAAAATGTTTAACAACAACCAAAAAAGTTATACAACTTTTATTTATACGGAGTAGCTTCCTTAAACTAAAAAAACATCCATCTCGAAATTCGTGAAACTGTTTTTAAACTGTAAAAATTTGAATGAAATTAGCTGCGAGTTCCTTCAGTTTTTTTTTTAATGTTTTGCTAAAGGAGGAAAAAAGTAGATAACGGTATTGTTCAATAAATTAAAAAAATTATAAGTACAAAAACAAATAAATTTTAAAAATTCTATAATCAGAAAATTATATAAAAATATTTTATGCCCATGTTCAATACTTGAATAGATTCTATTTACAAATTTACTGAACAAATTTTAATTTGCTTGTTGAATTGGCTTCAGAGTTTTTTATTAGTGTCAAAAATATATTTTCATATACAGTACCGAACAAAAGTATTGGCACAGTGAATTTTTCGCAATATATACAAAGTTTTTTATTCTAATTTATTTTCGATAATTTTTTATAAAAAGATAGTTCATTTTACACCAAAAAACATAAAAATCAAATCTCTAAACTTTGTGCAAAATTCAGAAAAATTCAATAAATTTGCACACTGATATGTAACTTTCTACTCAGATCTTTTAGAAAAATCCTAAGTATTCAGTTTTATAGTCCATTCAATTTTAATATGACAAAGTGCAAGTTTGAAGGCGCTAGAAAATCGCGTTGATTTTTGGTAAATTTTTTCACGCAAGTTCTTCCATATAAATTATATTCGACAATTATTTTTTATATGGAGAAAATAAGCAACACCTTCCACTAAAAAAAATTGCCAAAATTCAACGCGATTTTCTAGCAACTTTAAAATTACATTTTGTCATATTTTTCTAAAAGATCTGAATAGAAAGTTAAAATTCAGTGTGCAATTTTATTGAATTTTTCTGAGTTTTGCACAAAGTTTAGAGATTTTATTTTTCTGATTTTTGGTGTAAAATGAACTATATTTTTATAAAAAATTATTGAAAATAATTCAGAATAAAAAACTTTGTATATATTGCGAAAAATTCACTGTGCCAACACTTTTGTTCGTCACTGTACATTTAAATTTTGATTTATTATAACACGAAGGAATTTAATTTCTTAACCTTAGTTGGATATATAAATTTAATTAAGGCATATATTATTTATTATTTTATATATATTTTTTAAATTTCATGTCCATGTCATTTACGCTATCCCACTGCGTATACGCAACATTATTTCATAAATTTAGGCACACTCACATAATAATCCAGTGCATATCCTGGTCGGGCTAATGCTGAGCTTGCGCATAACACAATCGTTAACACAATTATACACTTCAGGCTTGCCATCTCGATTATAATTCGTAATTTTTTTTTTAATGCAGGTTCACACCAAAATTGCACTTTTATGTTGTAAGGATAGCCTTTTGCGAACTTTTTAAGAGCTTCTAAAAATAAAAGAAACGTTTTGTTTTAATAAAATTTGCATTTACACAGTATGTAAATATCTATGCACATATCTATAATTTATATGAATTATTTTTATTTAAATTTAGAAAATATCCGCACTTTTAGTATTTCGACGGCACCACTGATTTGCACACTGCTAAGTTGCCCGGAATACTGTGCCGATTCTAAGATCAAGTTTCCATTAAATACGCCAAACAAACGCACGACGGCAAAGAAAATGCGCCAAGTCGCAGCAGAAAGCCGTCAGCCACAGCACAGCGCCGCCGACAACGAAGAGTTGTGCACAGCCGCAAGCTACAGTTTTGGCGCTGCTCTCGGCGACGATTGCTGACTTTGACGTCGCGTCAATTTCTTATGGGCAACTTACGCGTGCGTTCTATTGTCTACTGTGCCGGTATTGCCGCTGGCTGAGGTAGTAGTACCAAGCGGCTTGCTTAGCTTACGCACCGCTGGCGCTGACCGTTTGTCAAGCGCTCAAGTGTGGCCATACGCTCTCAGTTTGGACGCAATTTTGCAGGCGCTCAACATCACCATTAGCATATGGTATTATTCACCTCGGTGGTGTGGTGAATTATGCGGAGACTGTTTTTCTTGCAGTTTAGCTTCGGCGCTGGCTGCTTTTGCAATTTTGACATTGTTGTTGTGGCAACATTTATTACGATACGCTAGCGGAAAGGAGTAAGGGAAGCGGTGGACATATAAGATTTATAAGACGTTGCTACATTGTTTATGAGCATGGTGATATTTCATAGCTGCCACTGCGTCGCTGCTGGCGCCGGCGCTGCTCTACATATATGCACTATATGCAACATTTTTAATGGCTTGATTTGTATGACAACATCGGCTGGGTCATCGCGCACATGTTCCTTAAGCCTGCTTGAGCGCGAACTTAAAGCTGAGGTTACTTATAAAATACACAGAAGCACAAACATATGCACAAAAGTAAGTATGTAAATACCTTAGTTATTTCGGTTGACATTGGAAAAGGTGGCACCATTTCATCGCCAACGGCTGGTAATTGATTAATGTTAATTAAGCAATTGGGAGGAGATTTTTGTTTGGTATTGATGAGCAGAGAATTTCCCAGACAAGTTGAACAGAGACATCACTTATTTGGACATACATATATATGTATGCAAATAAATACATATGTAAATAATCTATTAAAATTTTTAAGATGGAAGATGACTTTGCTGGTAGTAAGCAACTGAATTTGTATTCTGATTTTGAAAGGGACAATAACTATTTTACACATTTTCTGAAAGAGAGTTACAATAAAAAAAAAAAAACAAAAACTTAGTTAAGTATGAAGAAATAACCACCACCTGTTGCGTAAAAATGGCTTTACCGATTACCAGTAGCTCACTAGAACAAAATATTTATTAATTTTCACTATTTGCAGCTGTTTTTCTCGAGCTTTTGATTTTTTTTTTTGGGCTTATGACACTTTTGCAGCAAATGTGCGATATCCCGGATACCACAAACTCTAAATGTGAAGAACAATTGGTCTTAATAAGGAACTTATCGTCACTAGACACGGATAAAGACAAAAGTACGCGTGAAAAAAATTTCACGTAAAAAGACGCGTACAAAAACTTCGGCGAAGAAAGAGGCGTCCAAGGCCTCTTTGGGGAATTTACATACTGTTACACACGCAAAATAAGTTTACGCCGTCCGTCGTCAGTTATGTTTTGAGCCTTTCTTCACTGAAGTTTTTTTATGCATCTTTTTTCGCGGTCAACTTTTGAACTCGCGTCTTTATTCGTGTCTATTGGCGATATATTCCAAAAGAGTTTTATTTGGCTCTGCATGTAGACAGATTGTTATTGTTTTCTCTTCCATTTCGTGATGAGTGCAGGTCCTCTACTAATTTATGCTTTTAGATCTCAATATGTTTTCTTCATTCAGAGCGATTAGTCAATAGTTTTTTGTTGAGCAATTAGTCAACAAAAAGCAAATTTATATAGTTCTATAAATTTGAATTTTTTGAGAAATAGCGCATTTTCTTCCGATGTCGGATTTGTCTTCACTAAGATAATTAATGCTCTTCAGTGATGCGGGTTCGATCCCTGCTGAAGGCAAGAAAAAGAAATCTGCTGAGGAGATGTGGTAATTTTCGATATCGCAGCTGTACTTTCTACGGCTTGGACTTTGTTGTTTTTTCCAGCCTTGTTAAAGAGCAAAATCGTGGAGCAAAGCTCAATAACACTATTAAAAAAAAACTTTGTGTTTAATTTTCCTCTGTTGAAAGTGGAAATAATCTATGCAATGCTCTGCACATAGATTATTTTAATATACAAATTGATTTTATAAGCGCCTTTGCCAGATTGTTTTCATTGTGATTTTTTATATTAAATGTCACATTTTAAAATTTTTTTATGATTTTAAGTGTTTAAATGAGTTTTTTTTTCTCAAAAATACGATTTAATAAAGTAAAAAGAATTTCACAGACGTGTAAATTTTGGCTGAGTAGCAGTCCCGATTTTACTGAAGCATTCGTTGCGTTCATAAAATTAGACAAAACATTTAGATTACTATTTACTTGGCCACTTCATTTCATAAAAGTTTTAAAAGTTTTATAATCTCATGTTGTGCACTACTATAAATTCCTTATAAAACTTCCAACAAACAATTTATAAACTAATAAAAGAGCCACATTTTGCACTATAAAGCCCTTCCGGGTCCCTTTTGGGCTTATAAGGGTTTTATTGACTGTTTTATAGAGCAAAATTGTTTAGCTTGCTTTTTAGTTTTGCTTAAGTAAACCACTATAAAACCCACATAAAACTTTGTGTGTCAAAATCATCTATAGCATGCCCAAATATAATAGTACTTTTTTAGTGTTTTGTTAGTACCTTACTGTTATTTGTGATGGAAGGCATTTTTAGAAAAATTACGATTTTTAGCTCTGTTTAATGCGAATATACTCTTGATATGCTATCTCGGCGGTTAATTACTTTTAATTAAGTTTGAGTGGAAATATTGATAACGCTTCTCCTTTTAATAATGAAGCTAATTTTAAAGTATTTAAAGAAATTGTTATTTTATGTTATATATACATATTTATATGTATTTAATATGTATATGCATATGTACATTAGAGTGGTCGAATTTTTTTTTTCCAAAATTCATAAACGCTACTTCGAATTATTGTTATTTGTAATAAAAAAGGAAACGTATTTTTTTATTTTGAAAAAAAAAAGTTGTGTTAGAGGTCGCGCTGGTCGGTTTAAAGAACAATGAACATGTTAGAATGCTGCAGTATTATTGGAAAGCAGTTTCTCAATTACATAACTGTTTCGGGCAGTTAGAATATGCCAAACTAGTCCCCAAAATATGCTTTCGAAAAGAGGCTACTAAAATTAAAACGTTGATACTAAACGATTTACGCATTGTTATCTGTTGGTAGTTAAGAATCTGTAGTTAGTTTTTCAAAATTCAAAATGGAGGATCCAAAATGGCGATTAATTTTTATTATTATTTTTTTTTTTAATTATTGCATTTGTTCGAAACTCGGTACCCGGGAGTTTTTGGGGTCGCTGATTAAGAATCTGATGAAATTTTTTTAAATTCAAAATGGCGGATGAATTTTGAAAATCTGACATCAAATTCGTAATCACCAACCCCAGAAGCCCACTGGTAACGAGTTTCAGGCCTTGACAATGCTTAAAATCGTTCAGTATCAAAGTTTTAATTTTAGTATTTTTTTAAGAATTTGATCGCCATATTGGATCCGCAATTTTGAGTCAAAAAATTATAATTTGACTTCAAATTCGTAATCAGCGACAAATTCAATCATTTTTTTTTAAATATAACAGTTATTGACGACTTTTATTTATAAAACTCACCAATTAATATCAGACACCGACTTTTATCTTTTAGGTCATACGTATAAAAGTCATTATTATTTTTCGTAGTTAAGAAGGTGTTGGAGAGCAAAAGTTTACTACGACTTATACAAACGACCTTTATACGTATGATTATAAAAATAAATCTCACTGACTCATTTATATTGATGACTTTTATAAGTAAATATCTTCAATAACTGCTATCTAAGACACACAGCTATTATCAGATTGTTTAGATAAAAATATAAAATAATTGTTATTTTGGATTTGTGAATTAAAAATCAGAAGAAATGTTAATAATTAAATAAAAAAAAAAAAAAAAAAACAGCCCCTGATCTTACATATGTATACTTTCTTTCATCATTTAAGGGTATTTATCAGTTCACAAATTTTTAAGCCATTTGTTTACTTCCAGTGATTCTCGCTTCCTCACACTTCAGAGACCAATTGACCATGAAGGCATTTCAGCAATAAAGAAACCAAGTAGCGACAGTCAATTAAAAACTAGCCTTCTGACATGTGGTTACACTGGGCCAGTAGTTTATCAAACCCCAAGGGGGCATCAATTTCCAACCACTCTGGAAGATCAACTGTGGGACGTATTCACTCACAACAATAACAACAACGCCAAGGTCAAGGTCGACGCGTAAACGAAAATTTCATTTTTTAATTAAGTTTCATGCTCTTTGTATGGGAACAAAAGACTTAAGCAGCGAACTTCACTTGCGTTCGCTATAGCATGTGCTCGTAAAAGTGTTTATATGTATGTGCCTATGCCCGCTCTACTTTAATTCCTGAACGCGTATCTAATAAGATTAATGAGACGTCGAAGTTTACTTTCTAATTAACTGCTAATCAATTCGATTATGACGCAATGTAAACAATCACCCAATTCAATTACTTGTACTGTGAGTTACTCGTACTTCTAATCTAATTGAGCGTTCAAATTGTGTGATTAATTTGAATTCTGGCAGACTTGCAGCGACTTAATGGAAAGTGGAAATGTAAAGTAATTTACTAGCCTTTGTATGAGTGCATGTTTGTTTGCAAGCGATAAACATGTTAGTAAATAATTGATTTCATTTGGCAATAAACTGCCACAAAAATAGAAAG